AATATAGATACAAATAGAAATGTTGGAGAAATAATTTCAAAGGTAAATTTTAATATTTTATAAATTAATATTTAATTCAATTATCAAAATTATTATATTAATTATTTATTTATTTATTAGCTTTGAAAAATTATAGTTAAAATACGATCATCACCATAACATTAAGATTGTTTTATATGTTGTACTGAAGCAGCTGGTCTTAAAATCTTAATCTTATTTTAGATATAAAAACAAGATGAAATTTAACTCATGATATGCTTAATTGAGCATTTGAAATGCGAGATGTTAGAATATATTAAAATTACATAATTATTATTAATTTTATTTATATTTTAATATTATTTTTTATGCAATTGATATATCAGCAAGTTCTGATAAAGACCTTTGAATTTTTGAACTTACTGATAATGAATGGAATAAAATTAAAGAAATTATATTTGTTTTAAAGGTAAAAATGAATTTAATAATTTAAAAATTATTTTTTTCTTTATAATTAATTTTAATTTATTATAATATTTAGATTTTTATACAAATAACCAAGCAGGTTTCATCTGCAAAATATCCTATGCTTTCTAATATTATACCTAAAGATAGTTCCCATAATTATTTTTAAAATTTTTAGCTAGTTGTAATTTAAGTTATAATACTTTGAGTTGCAACATTTTATGAATTTTTATATTAAAATAAATTTACAAGGAGTTGCAACCAAGTTGAAACTTAAATTGCAACTTACTGAGTTGCAACTTCTTAATTATGATACCCATCTTTAATTATATCAATATACAGCTATTTGTTTGATGAACTTAAATTATATTATGAAAAAGCTGATAGTTCTATTGATACAGTATTTGCTATAAAAGCATGTTTAAAAAAATTAGAAACATATTATGAAAAAACTGATGACTAATATATATATATAATTGTAACTGGTAAGTATTATTAAAAAATATATTTTTTTATATTTAAATTCTTATTTTTTTAATAAACGCGATTTTTTATTATAATAATTAATTTATTAAAATTATAAAGTACTAGATCCGCAATTAAAACTTGGTTATTATGAAGATAAAAAGTGGAAACAAAGTTTTATTTGTTATGCTAGAGAAATTGTTCTTGAGATTTATAATACCAAATATGCTTCTGTTGATACTGATTTACAAGTCGAAAATATTAATGATTAAAGTGATGTGATTTTAAATCATATTTTTGGTAAAAAGTAAAATATTAAACAAAACAAAGTGGAATTATATCTAAATGCTTCTCGAGTAGCATGAAATCAAGATATAATTCTTTGGTGAAAAGTATGTATTAATGATAAATTGTATAACGAAAATGTTTTAATTAATTATTTCAATTATTTAATTTATATAGTTACATGAAACGGAGTATCCATATTTAGCCATAATGGCTAGAGATTATCTTGCAATTACAGGTAATAAAATATATATTTATTGATTATTTTAAGCTTTATCAAATATTAACTAAAAATTTTTTTTTAATAAGTAACGAGAGTTCCAGTAGAACGAGTTTTTTCTGATAGCGCTAATTTAATAGCAACCAAAAGATGTGGGCTTAAAGCTAACTCAATTTGCGCCTGTATGTGTTTGAAATCCTGGTGGCAATAAAATATATATATAAAAAATTCTAAATTAGGATTAATGTGTAACAAAATAAATAAAACTTACAAATTTTATAAATATACTTCTTTTAAATCTCCCGTTTAAATAATTTTTTTAATTTCGGTATTAATATTACCCTTGAAAATTCGAGTCGAATTCAGGTTAAAAAATAATCTGATCAGATCAAACAATAATCAGGTCGAGTCAAGTTCAGGTCTTGTAAATATTAACGGGTTTGAGTTTGAGTTTGCTTTAAACCTGATCCGACCTGACCCTTACAGAGCACTAGTAATGCTCTGACCTGGGTCATTTAATCTGACTCGAGAAAAAATTTGAGTCGGGACTATCATTTTATGTCACAAGTCCTAATTTCTTAAAACCCATTGGGTTAAGGTCTTGATTTTGCTTGATCTGGGTAACCCGAATGATCAGGTGATGCTGATATGCGAAACTTTTAAAATGAGTGAAACTATCGACTTTATTAATTCTGATAATACAGCTTCTCTTGAAAATCGAAAATAATTGCGAAGCGAACTTTTTGCCAAAGAGCTTTTAAAGAGAAACTTCTTCCATCAGAATATAAAATTCAAAAACATATTGAGAAAGTTAGATACTGTATCTTATCTACTTGTATCTTTTTTAAATAGAGTATAATTTGGTATATTATAGGTTGAGTATTTTTTTTTTTAAAAAATATTAGTGGACATAAAACGTGGCTCTGCAATATTGATGATTCAAATACAACAAAATTATTTATAGCGTAATCATCCAAATAGAAATGAAATTATTTTAATAAACAACGAGTGTCCCTGTTGAATGATTTTAGACTCAAAACTGCATTTTTGTTTTCGAATTCCTGGAGCCAATAATATATTTTTTACTTTCGGTATTAATATTACCTTGAAATTCGAGTTGAATCCGAGTTAAACATAATCAGGTCAGGTCGAGCAATAATCGGGTCGAGTCGAATTCGGGTCCTGCAAATATTAATGGGTTCGAGTTCGAGTTTGCTTCAAACCTGATTCGACCTGACCCTTATGGAGCACTATTTCTGATAAACTTATTTAACTCCATGTAAATTTAACTTGATATGTATTTTATAATACATAACCTTTAATATTAAAAAAAGGTATTCTACTAATCATAGCAAAATATTTGCGCCTAGTTTACATATATATATTTATGCTTTAGCAGAACAGATTTCTTTATTTTAAAAGGATATACAAACACATTTCTGCAAAGAATTTGATTTCAACTAAATTTCATTATTTCTGAACAACTAATAAATTGTGAATGTATGTGACTAAATATATTTTATAATAAAATTACTATAAAATATTGCGACTGTATATGATTAACTGTAACTGAAAATTATTAATGGTCCAGAAATTATGAAATTAGCTGTAATATAAGTTTTTTCCAATAGCGTGTCTGGAAAAATCAAGTTTGTTTTTAATGAGAACTATAAAGATTAATGTAATAAGTCATTTGTTTAGAATTAAGGCGAGAAAGCAAGTGAAAACTGGAATTATTTTATTATTTACAACAAATAGATGATATTTTGTTAAAAGTAAAGATTACAAAAAAACAAAATGATCGTAAGTATTTAAATCACATATCACATTTTTGATTTAGGTGACAGAATCGAATGTGAGAGCATTTATCCGATTTACAAAATTTTTAACCAATCAGATTTCATAAATTCAGGAATTTTCCCAATAAGGGAAATTGTATGGTTCTGCGATTTTCATGCTCACGTGTATTTTGATGAATTGATGGCCTGATTTTTGAAGGCCAGATATTGAACTCGTAGAGATTGTTTGTAAGAGCCACATATTAAGAATAATGGGCCATTTTGAAGCGAAAAGTGCGCAAACGAATAAATTAGTTATAAAACATCGAAATCCATAAATCGGGCAAAGAAATAATAGCTATAAATCAGTTGGAAGGAATCCAAAAGCCTTTGTAATAGTACTAAATTTCGACAGGATTCGTCTATTATTGCTCTGGCAGAACACAATACTTTATTAATCATTAAAATTAATTCTTTTAGAAATGGAATTCGTCATCAAAATATTTGAAGGATTCGAGTATATATATATATATTTTTTAGAATATTTGCAGTATTAATGTATATATAAATATTTTTAATTTTTCTGGCTTATCAATAAAGTTAATAAAGTTATATAGCTACAATTATCATTATTACAATCAAGCATGGTTGATAACTATATTAAAGTCCTCCTTAATATGCGTCAAAAATCAAGTTTATTGAATGTGTCATACAATCTCGTGTGTCATAAAATCTCGGAAAAATTGCGAATGGTTCAAGTAAATAAAAGTCACTATGCATAAAGGGTGCTCACGCATAAGTTATTTTTTTTATGAATTTATTCAAAAATAAATTTTTTTATTTAAAAAATCAGTGAATTGTGAAATTGTATAAATTAAGTAATTAATCCTTTCATACCCTTTTGCGATGTTCGAATAAAATGGAAGTTCCTGTTTATAAAAGTCAAATTCTGTATTCTTAATAGAGTGGTCGAATTTCTATTTTTATGTATCTATATAAAAACAGGCATACGTGAAACCTTAAACTTACGATTTAATTTAAAATCAAAGGCACAGTAGAAATTTACACAATTGTCGATTCTTTTCGTTTCGTTTCGTAAATGTAATGACTCAATAATTGTGTCGGCAGTGCTGATTCAAAACAAATTGCTCATACATAAGATGTTTCAATTTTGCAAAGTTTCATGTTGAAAAGTCATTCCTTAATACAAAAATTCACCATGTGGATTTGAACCTAAATTCATCTATAGAGATTAAAAATTCCCAAATTATCGACCGTTAAAGTCCAAAAATATATAATATATTTTTAATCGTCAACATGACAAATTTTGTACCAGTCATCATTGTATTTGCCGGTATTGTCAAATACTGCAAGGCTCTGTTTAAGTCATTTTAGGTTAGTACCATTTTTTTTTTGGATGATTGGGCAAAACATGATCGTCATGTGATATGGATAGAAAATGCGACACGAAAAATAATTCAATCGGCGATAAGGTATACGTGACTTCCTTTTTGAATTGTTGCTTTCCCAACTTGTATGAAAAGACTCTCTTGTTTCTGAAAGATTTTCAATCCTATTCAAAACTTCTAAATATAGCTTTGCTCCATTGTATATAAATAAATACTTGTTTGTAAAGAGAGAAATCAAAAAATTTTACCCCTTTTTTTCCTTTTTTTAAAGTAGTCGATCATTTGCTTTATTTGGAAAAGTGTTTTTTCATATATAAATAGTTAGCTTTTTTTGTCAAACAACCAAAATTTTCATTTTTGCGTTAAATAAAAATAAAATAAAAAAACAATAAAAAATTCATGTATTCTACATTTTATCAAGATTTGTCAAATAATTTCAGTTCGTTGCTGAGCTCAGAGTTTGAGTATAATGTTATAATCGATGTAGGAAATGGTGCAGACCACAAAGAATTTCATGCTCACTCTGTTATCCTTTATAGTAGGTCACAATATTTTCAAACGTTATTTTCATCTTATAAAGTTGAGAAAAAGGATGGGATATCTATTATTAGGTTTCCAGGCATAAGTGTAAATACATTTCAAGCCATCATAATGTAAGTAATTTTTGGTTGGTCGAGAAATCTTTTTAGAAAACGAACTAGTATTAATCCTTTTGTTGAATAGTTATATATATACCGGAAGTATTGACCTGACCAACAAGGAGGGAATCGAAATATTAAATATTTTGTTCATCTCTCAACAATTCGCTTTAAGCGCCCTAACTAAATTCATTGAACAATATCTCATCGAAAACCATTCAGAATATTTAAGGAAATGTCCAGTGGAAACCCTTCAGAGTATTTTATTTAGCAAGTCCACCTTTAAAGATTTACAGGAAATTTGTATAGACGCAATCTGTTACGAACCGGAACTCATCTTCCTCTCTAATAATTTTACTCGATTACCCTCTCCTCTATTAGAAATTATTCTTAAGCGTGATGATCTTAATTTGATTGAGATTGAAATTTGGGAAAATTTAATTAAATGGGGCGTCACACAAATTTCAAGACAACTTAATGAGAATGTTGATGAATGGGCTCAAGAGGATTTCGTCGAATTGGAAAGATATATTCATAATCTCATCCCCTTAATTAGATTTTACGAAATTTCTTCTAAAGATTATTTTAAAAAGGTAAAACCTTATGAAAGGATTTTACCCAAGGAATGGCAAGAAGATATTCTTCAGTACCATATGGTACCTGGGCATGCGCCCAAGTTTAAAACAATAGCGCCAAGACTCACAAAGAATGTGAGTGATGATATTGATTCAAAATTACTTGAACATAAGCATTTTCTTACACTTGCCAATTGGATAGATGACAAGGATGAAGATGCTGCTTACATTAAAAATATTCCATATAATTTTCAACTGGTTTATCGAACATATAGTCCTGGTAGTTGTTCTATTGATGATCTCATGAAGAAAACTGGGTCGGATAGTAATGATTCTTTTATTATAATATGTGTTCCGGGTGATCGAGGCAAGTTACATAACATATCAGGTGGATTAAAGCAATCTAATTATAGATCAGGAGGGTATATTCATGAAAATGATTGGAATGACACAACTGGCACAAAAAATTTTTTGTTTTCTATTAAAATCGATGATGATACGTATGAACCGATGATTATTCGGAATAGCGATAAAAATAGATTTTATCACTCATTTATAGAGGCGTTCAAATCCTCTATGGGTTTTAAAGAAGATGGTTCCGGAAAGTTCTATTCATGGGAAATATTTAAATTGGAAAGGATAGCTATTACGAATAAATTGAACTCCAATAATAATTTAGAGACGAAAAGTTTAAGTAACAGGAAATCAAAAAAATTTGAGTTATTTAGTAGTTTGAAGTCAAAGATTAGTTGATTGGTTGGTTAATTTAACGTTATAAAGTATTATTATTATTATCATTTTGTAATTTAAGATCAATTTTTTTTTTGAATTAGGTAATTATAATAATTTACTTCATAATTTTTGGTATAATTACATTATTCCACCTATTCCACCTATTTTATTCACATTTTAATCTATCATTAATATTTATGCCAAAATCGCGTCGCGATAAGAAAAAAATTTGTATTTATTTAAATCTTATATATTATTAAATAAATGACATATCGAAAAAATAATTTATGTTTTGGATGATGGAAGAGAATATAATATATTAAGCTTGTGAAGTGGAACAGATTTGCGCTTCGAAAACTTGCATCAAGATTAGAAATTAGATTTTTCATCTTGACGATGGATGAAGAAGTTCTAATTTATTGAGATAAGTAAAGAAATCAATTTGCAAAATCAATCAAATCCAACTTATAGCATTCAAACCGAATTCTTTAATTGAAACTATTGTTGATAAAATTAGTGAACGGTGGTAGTAGACGCGTAGAGAAGGAGGAGTTGTTGGTAGTTCTGCTTCAAGGGCATCCAATCATGAGAATTTTTAAAGGCCAAGGGAAAGTCAATTGAGCGAAACGATCAGCATATACAAGTATAAGTTATCCGTCGCACTCTAAAATTTGTAAATTAGATATCAAGTTAATTAACTGTCAACATACTTAATAAAAGAAAATATTCATAAACCGTAAAAGATAAATATCTTTTCATTATTATAATAATTATAATGGATTTCGAAATTTGTTAAATATAATATATTCGACAACAAAGGGTCTAGAAATTCTGCCTTAATGATTTTTTTCTTTCCATTAGAAAAATCAAATGAAGAGCATTTGACTAAAATTTTATTGAGTCTGTACAATATTAAAAAATGAATGTCCATAAAGCGTGCAGATCGCGGATCATGTGAAAAAGATGTCTTGAAAAAAACGCGTCATTGCCTCCAATTTAAGTTGTTGCAAGGTTTGACGTGTTTACTTTATGGATTCCAGATTTGTTTCCGGTTATCTATTTTCCTCATTTATACAAATATAAATTATCTAAATTATAACTATTTATAAATACAAAATTATTATCTAAATCCTAAGTTTTTTCGGTGCAAAGCGTATATTAATTTTAAATAAAAATATATTTTAACTCGATTTACCAAATTATTATTATTATTATTTATTATTTTTCATGTTTCTGATGTGGTCACGATGATTCACAGTTAAATTAAAATAATAAATCGTATGATCCGAATTGTGGATCTCTTTTCAACGATAATGAGAGCGCGATTAATTCACATCTTTTTAGTCAACAGATAAGTTTTGTGCCCGCATATGTTTGTGACACATTGTGATTCCTTTCTTATGCATTTTTGTGTCATAAATTTTTAAGAAATAATCAACTGATACCAACAACTGTTACGTAATCTTAATCTTTAAAATAGCATTATCAATTGTTTAAAGTTCTATTTGTTGATCTTGCTCTTTTGTGGATTTATGCGTTAATTTTTTGTTTTGATTACCCCTTATAAGGCGAAGTCCCGTTATCGTTATAGTAAATATCTATGAATGGAATGTTAAACAGTTCCAAATGATTTGGAACTTTCTAGTTACAAACAACCCTACTTATAATAATCGTGTTGAATTTAAATCGAAAAAATTAAAAGGAATCACTATAAAAAATAAATGTCCGGAAATATCACCGAAAATGTCCAAAAATTACAAATTTTTGGATTTCACAAATTCCGGATATACCAAAATCCGGAATTTGTCCGTCCCGATCTTTTAAGGACTTTCGACATCCATTTTTCATAGGAATTTATAATTATACGGATTCTTTGTATTTTCCAACTTAAAAGATATGATCAGCTAAAGTCTTTCGAATGCTCGGAGACATTTGAGAATAATTTTCTGAAATCTTGGTCTGAAATTTCTAAACTTTAATAGTCATTATTATTAATAAATATTTTAAAACAAGGTTGATATAAAAGAAAGAAATTAGCGAAAGGTAATCTTTACGTTGTGGATGACATGGGGTATAGAATAGGTAAACTACTGATGGTTATCATCCATGGAATAACAAATATTTAGCTTAATGGAGCCTCTCAGAATCGATCAATCATAATGGCTTTTCCCAACATCATAGTATTCTGCCGAATAACTAAAATGCAAAAATGTAATTATTACACTTTCTCTCTCTCTTTTTTTTTTTATTAATGGTAATCCAAACAGGTTTCGATCGGCATGTTGTCGGAAATTAAAAATCATAGTCCCGAAATCGGTTGTTTATTTTTCCCATCTTTGTAATGTAAATAAATATTTAAAAATACTTTTAAAAAAATTTTTTTTTTTTTTTGGAAGCTTAGAAATAATTAGAATACCATGATGTAATTACTTACATGGGTGAAACACCAAGATTTTTTATTTTCATGTCTGGGTTTATCATGTTTATCATTCCATTCCAGAAATTTTCATCCTTAAAGTAACCACGAATTACAAATTTAAACGGATTATTAGAAATATACATATATTATTTATAATATTTCAATGATCGTGTTCATTAATGAAAAGCTTACCTCACTTGTTAAAAAATTCATCAAAAGTTCGATGAAACATGTCTTTTCCCTTCGATGCTTTCATTTGAAAAGTGGAATTATCAGTATTATTCGCGAATTTTTGAAATGGATCTTGGCAAAGTTATGTTATGCTTGCATGAATTGAGAAAGAATTGGATTAATTGGAATCACGCATCAAAATATAAAAACGTGCATTAAAATGGAAATGAGAAGCAAAATCACAACCCCTTTGATTGGATTCAAAACATACACTATTTTCCTTGGTAAGATTATTCAATTTTTATATAGCTAAAAATAATTACCATTAATAATAATTGAAAAGTGGATATATGACATAATAATTCCGTCATTATTTTTATTGTCTTCTCGCGCAAATATAGCAGGAAATAAATAATAAACGGAATTCGGAATTAAATAAATATTGATCGTTTGTATGAAGATAAAAACAATCGTTTTAAGTCGACAAGATCCTTAGTGCAGTACAACTTATCATCGTTAGCGAATTAATCAAATGACATAAACATTGTGTAAGTCGATGTCCACATGATTATTCAATGAACAGAAATCCCTATGATTCATGCAGAAGTTATATTTATCACTAATAATAGGTGGAGAGTGACACGAAAGATCAATAATCATTTGTAAACTTCTAATAATAGATCAGAAAAGTAATCAATTGTTTTTAAATTGTATACTTTTTAAATTTTTTTTTCTCACAGACCTTTTTGAATTTTTTATGATTCGCTCTAGTTTCGGGAATTCTAGGGAGATATGTTTCACCATTTGTTTATTTTGGATCCTAAAAAAAAAAAAAATAATAAAATATAATCAAAAAATACCCATGAGCGTTTTTTGAAAAATCGAAACCGTCATAGGGATAATTTCTCTTTTACTTTTACTTTTTTTTCTTTTTTAAACTAGGTCGAAAACATATTCGGATGATCTAATTACACTTCCAAATTGAACAAAGTTGAACAAAGCAAGTAAAAAAACAAAACAACGTTTATTCAGTTCTTAACACAAATTCTATTATGTCACAATAATTATGATCTTCAAGAAACAGTAAAAAAATATTTATAATAACCCTAATAAAAAAAGGGAAGAAAAAAAAAAATAGCTCACAAAAAAAAAGTTCCTTTATTTATTTCCTTTCTTTTTCCTTTCTTTTTATTTTTTATTTATCATTATGAAAATTTTAATTTTAATAATAATTTCACTGATATCAATTCAATTTACGTATATTGAAACAAATGCTCACGAAATAAAGTCATCAAAATTTAAATTTCATCGAAAGGGCAGCATAATTAGGGATAGAGATATGATCTTAAAATTAACCCCTAGAACAGATAAAACGAAATGTATTGAGAATCAGGAAACAAATTGTTCAAAAACACCCAAGAAAGAAACAACCCAAGAAACACCTAAAGAAGTACCTAAAGAAGTGCCTAAAAAGCCATCACTACAAACCAATGAAGAACTTAAAAATTATGAACCACCACAATCTAAGGAAGAACTTAAAAAAGATGAACCATCACCACCATCACCACCAACGACTAAGGAAGAATTAACCTCAACATCTAACGATGAACCTAAGAAGGGCGTTCCAATCAAAGAAGTGATTAAATACAAGGAACTTGAAAATGATGAAACATCTAAAGGCAGTTCAGCGACATCCGATGAATCCCAAGCAGAACACAAACTAGACAAATTAAAAAATAGTGTAATAATTGGTTCAGTGATAGGAATAGTATCCGGAGTCATTATTTTTGTAACGTGTTTTGCAATTGCATACGTGAAACATAAAAATCAAGAACAAATTATCCTTCTAACTCCAGAGAATAATGATAAGATTATAGATTTGAATAAGTCTCTTAATAATGAGGAAGTTATGGTCAATAATGTATAAATGAAATACTTTAATTACCAATTATGCCAACAACTACTCTTTAAAATAATACATTCATTTAAGCATTCTAGAGAAATCATTTTATTTAATCATGATTATGAAATTCAAGACATCTAAGAAAAAGATTTACGACAATTTTTACCTAATGTGGCAAGACAATTAGATATGCAATCGATGAATTTATTTATAATTGTAAATTATGTATATGTATATATTTCATATTTTTTTATTTTATTTTGTTATTTATTTATTTAACGCCATTCACTATTCATAGAAAGCTGTGTTTGAATTTTTAGTGCAACAATGCAAATATTAATGCATGCTACCTATAAAATGATGATTATGATATAATCAAGTGTGTTGCAGTTGCACCAAAAAAAACATTTCTTTTTTCCGAAAGCAAAACTTATCGCATGATTATAATTATCAACTGGTTTTTGACCCAAAAATTTTGGGATTTCACGTGATTTTTATCTTTCAATTTTTACATAAAATTAAATCAATAAATCATTTGCTTGCATTCAAGATGATTAAAACAAACATATAAAAGGTTTTAATTATTTAAACATAACGCATAGCTGTTGATTAGTAATTTAAAGAGATTATGACATGTAGATTGAAGCTAATGCTTCAATTACTTTTACAAAGATATCAATCACTTTTTTATGCAATTATTGACGAATTAGGCATTTATTTATGTCATAGTTTTAAATCAATCACTTATGTTTCATAATCATACAAAATAAATAAAACAATAATATAAACAAATTAAACGAGAATATAAATAAAGCAGCTTCTTAATAAGATTTAATGTCAAATTCCTTAATAAAGCTTAATTATCTAATTTAATATGACTAAAGCCTTATATTTCGAAAATTAAAAGTTATTTCAAGTAATATAAGTGTTGTTATTAAAACAAAAATAATTTCCAGCAACGAATACTGTAATTTATCATACATTAATGACAATTTCTAACTTTGAGAAAATTTTTTTTTTTCCGAACCTATTATAAATTTGTAATACAAAAGATTTGCATCGTGAATTAGCCAACAGAGGTGAAGTGACACAAAATCTTTTTTTTATTAACTTGTACATGAAAATAATCTTTATTGAATATTTTTTTTTACGGTTTTAGATAATTAACGCGCCATAATTTCTGCACAAAGTAAACATTTATATATTCAAGTATTTTATTAATTGAGTCATCTTACATTCGTTCTTATTCAAAATATTATTGATCAAATAAGAAATTGGTGTTTTCACTTGTGGAGCAATTATTTTATCCATATTGTGGAATATCTTTTTAAAAGAAGGAACTATTGTATCTTGTAAAGGTTTTGACGAATATGCTTTAGTCAGTTATCCGTTTTTATTTTTTATTTTTTTCTAAAAATAGAATTTTTTAATATCTTTTTGCTCGAAAGTTGCTTTAACGTCAAGTTGTGGTCTGAGAAAATCAATTGAAAATAAAAGTAATTTATGCACACCAGGTGCATAATTACAGATTTTTTTAAAAAACTTTCAGTGAAGATTAGATTAAAGTAAAAATAGGTTAAACTATTTTGTAGATATAAATAGAATGTGATTGCAAAAATATTTTTTTTATTTAGAAACACATACTTTAATTATTTGTATTTTACAACTTTCTTTTTTTAGTATTTTAATAATAAAGTGATTTTCAAAAAAATATTCTAATTCGAGTTTCCCGCGCTGCATTCCTTGTCTTTGCCATTTAACTTTACATACATACATTACAATATCCTATCTCCATATCTTTTATTTTGTTACTTTTATATAGAAATCATCTTATTTTTTTTTTTTTAAGAAAGTCAACCTCGAAATCACGTGAAAGTTGAAATATTAGGTGATTCTCCTATACGCAATAATATTCTAAAGACTAATCTAATTAAATTTATGGCTATTAAAATAATCATTAAGAATGATTTTAAAAAATCTTAATTTAATTTAATATTTACATAGTTTGTCGGGTAACTGTAAAAGAAATATCAACTTAATTCAGTCTCTCGAATTAATAAAATACAACTATATCGTATAAATTCATTCATATATAACATGACCACTTTCGAGATTTATCATCTGGGTCACGAGATTTTCCACAGTATCACCACAAAAACACCACTAATTTTTGGCCGGCATTATAAAACTTGGTCGAAATGAACTATGTGACAAATAGGAATTTTCACATCAAAAAATGAGGGTTGTGACACGGTGTTACAAATTCCTAAGGTCACGTGGGGAGAAAATATTTTGTGGCTTTATTATTTAGCTCATGAAATTAAATTAATAATATTAATGTTTTAAGATTAATATACATGTACATGCCTAGTTTCATATCAAGTGAATTCATTGTTGATAAAAACAGCGATAAAAGAACTTGATAATCTACTTGTATAGATTGGTTTTCGAAGTCTTCCAGTACAACACACTCATCGACAGTCGCTTTACATGTGAACAACAGCAAAATGTTGAATTTATTGAATTCACAAATGCCTTCTTCCTTTTTGGGAGTTCGAAAATATGATGAATTATAGTCCAGGATTTGAAAATAATAGTGTTAAAAAAATCATAATAATCTATAACAATTCTGAAAATCCAATATTCAGGTAGTAATGAGATTTATCGGTTTGTTGTGTTCTGAGGAGACTTCCATTTAAAAAATGAATACAATAGAGACAAACCGGTACATTGTAGAAATTTAGTGAATAATTCATCGATTTCATAATTACGTATACATACAGTATTTCTCAACCATTTTCTTCATTCACCGAATTTTAGATTTCATGTATGTTAACTTGTTCTTCTTGGAAACTTTCAGATTATAACTCGTAATCGCATTTGATAAATTTGTATTTTCAAATAAAGCTGTAAAATAATAGTCAATTGGTTTCTCTGTGGTGTGGTAATGTTATCAACTGAGGCTTTATAGTATTATTTATTTTATTTCTTTTATTTATTTTTCTTAGATTATTCATATGGTTATATTATAGTTTTTTTGTTTAAAAAAAATAATGTTGCATCCACACAAAAAAAAAAGAAAACCATCTTACACCTTTTTTTTGTTATCTGTAATGATAGTACTACAATACAATAGTTTATGATAGTAAAAAAAATATGTAACAACACCGACACAATTTGGTACTATACATAATGGATATAATTCAGACGTCAAGAAATAAACTTTGTTGGATTCCGTGAAATTTTAATAAATGTATGTTAATTTTCTTAACCGAGCTAACTCATTTACATAAATATTAGATGTTTTTTAAATAGATCAATTTAAAATCTATTCATTTATTTTATCAATAATGGTTCGAGTCTGATTTTAGGCTTCGTAGCAATGATTTTGACACTGCTCATTCGAAATTAATATTTTATTAAAGGAGGAAGATTAAATGCGTATTAAGCGAAAACTGTTACTACTTGAAAAAAACATAATTTTTTTTAAAATATAATAATATATATATTTCAACAATATAAGTCTTTCAAATTATTAAATAATATATTATACACGGTAATTGAGTTTATTTCCGTGAATAGGCGCTTCATATGAATAGTATCTTGTTGGGAAAATCTGCTAGGTGACGTAAAAGAAGACGACTAAGAAGACGACTCCGAGGTAACATATTCCATATGGTATAATAAACATATGATTTTGATATAGGCCGGACAAACTCGATGTTTCGGTTCTTGTGACCCGCCGGGTCACATTTTTGAAAATTGGGAAATGATTTTTTATAGTAATAAATTTTATTTCACGTGATCAAATAATAAAAAATGGATAATAGCAACTTCTTTTAATAAACCATGATAAAGGTAAATTTACTTTATTATAAAATTCATTCTAAATAAACTAGTAATTTGTTTGGAGCTAATCATTAAAGGCTTAATTATTATTGAATGGATGATTTTTCATACATTACTTGGTTTTTTTGACTATTTGGACCAAATAATGTTTTACAGCGCTTTTTCTTATTTGTATTTTAACCACACCACCTTTTCTTTCTTTATTACCAAATTTTGTTTTCCCGAAATATACTAATCCCACAAATCCGGTTCAAATGTATCAATGGGCAAATGTTGTAAAAAAATTTTCGATTGTTACATGTTCATCTACAGGAGTGAGTACCTTCATCAAATAAAATGGAATTTTTATGTTTTATGATTAGATGAATAATGGGCATTTTGAATCATTTAATTAGAGTTTTTCTTTAAAATCAAGTTTGTTGTATTCGGCGATCATATCATATCGCATTTACATATAAAATTTTCGAATTCTGATGTTAGAACCGAAACATCAATTTGTCCGTGTCTATCTTAAAATATATATAATTTTACAATATGCAAATTTACGTTTTTTTAATTGAATAAGAATTAAAGATTGATTCCTTGACAAAATGAAAGCCGATAGTAAGTTCAACATTGACAACACATTAATTTACAATTAATCATTAACATAACATTCCTTTTTAGTCACATAAGTTTTCGACGATGATATTGTAATGAAACTCTATAAACTAATCTTCCTTTATAAATAGTTACTATCAACCAGATGATATCGATATGGATAACATTGATTTTCTTTATAAGCTCCTATTTATGAAGCTGCCCTCGGATTTAGAGAGCGGAAATCAATGGTCAAATAAAAGTAAAGGACACTTTTAATGAATACATCAATTCAGGTAGAATATCAAAAAAAAAAATAAAACCAAACAAATTCGATTTGCTCTATCTTCATATCATCATTAAAAAATGATGGAAAATACTTGAGGCTGAAGTTTAATGAACTAGTTATTATTTAGAACCTATGACTACTCATAAAATGACTCAGAATGAATACCTCACATATAATTTCTACGAAATGGTATAGGAGTAAACCCTCGTTCGACAACGATAATAATTTTACGCCAATATCATTTTTAAACTCTAAATTATTTTTTTTTTAAAAAAAATCTCTTTCTGAGCTACTACAGAAACCAATTCTGTTACATTAACCTTGATCCCGAAATTCATTAAAAGCTATTCAATTTTCTTTGTTAGGTTTGTGTTATCGAAACCTTTGAAGTTTTAATATTTGATCGGTCATGTGTTGATCACGATTTTATCACGATTAAATTTTGTGTCAAATTTAATTGATTTATTCGATCACATGATCAAAAGTTTCATAATCTAGGTTTTTACTCTGAAATTGTTAATTTCAGCCAGAATTGTAATCGCGATTTTTTCTCACGATAAAATCACGCGTGATTTTGGCCAACCTAATCGGAGCTAATAACGCGCTTAGGATACTTTTATGTAGTATCTTTGATACTCTTATTCCAACAAGATAACTTTATTCTAAAATAACTTATCTCAAGTTATTGAACTTGCTCAAAATAATAATCATCTTAAAATATGATAGACAATTTAGAATATTTTTTAGGAAGGGTATGAAAATTCAAGCAAAGTTTCGTGTTCCTTTTTGCAAATAGGAATTTTTAATGTTGAAAGGTTAAAAAAAGGTGATTTAAGTCTTTTATTATTTAGGCTCATGCCGGTATAGGGCTTACTTATTATGATAAGTTCAATTAATATTTAAAAATAATGTATAATATATATATATATTACCGCAATTTAAATATAATGAATATAATTTATTTATATAATTTCTGAATATTGAAAACAAATTTGCAAAAACCAAATTTAAAGTTCCGATATTGACGTTCACTAGAAGTTTTTAATTTGCTTTTCTAAATATTTTTTTGAAAGTGATATTAATTTAAACAATATATATTATCATAATTTTAGACTAATAAAATTTATTACTTACTATTTACTTGAGTTTTAGCTTCTAATTCGTTGTTCCTTCGTTTTTTTGAAGAATTTGGTGTTGATATTGTATTTGGAGGTTGAGTATTTATTGCAAGTAACCTAATATTATTGAAAAAAGGATTAAATTGAGTGATAATTTTTGGATTTTAAAAGAAAACATTTTTACAATTATAAATACCTCCGAGTATCCATATCAAACTCATATTCTTTTGAAATATACTCTAAAGTTATTAAATAAAAATTAATACATAATTCATTAAAATCTCATTATAATCGTTAAAATTTCCTATTAATACGATACTCGAATAAAATATTAATAGAAGTAAAGGAATAAAGATTTTAAATGTCAAATATAAAAGCTAGCTTTTTACCTTCATTTCTTGATTCTTGAATCAAAGTCTCAAATTTATTATCTAAAATAATTATTATGGTATTATTAATCACAATTTTTTAAGTTAATTCATATTAATTATTTTAAGTACCTAGTGCATCATTAAAGGAATTCACAGAGGACCTAGAAATTAAAGAACTTAATGCTCTACTTGTATAGATCGCTTTCGGATGTTTTTCAATTACTTTAGGACCAAGTTTCTTTAAATTCATTAATTCAACTCGTTTTTTTTCAGCTTGATCAAA